CTTAAAGGTTGTTGTGACTCTTTATTCTGATTCTTCTTTGTTTTCTTGCCTCCTTTAGCACTAGCTGTAGATGGTAGATCCCCATCCCTAGCCACCTGTTTGAAATTTTCTTCTGTTGATTCATCATCTCCCTCATCCTCCATAGGATTTTGTCTCAGTAAGTCTTCATCAATTGGTGCCACATTGTGTGTAACTAAATCATGTAGATGTTGTAGTGGAGTCTTCAGTGGAACATTAAGCTGCAGCTGCATAATTTGATCAGTGCCATATTCCATAGGCACTTCCAATATTTCCCCAGCTGCTCTTGGAACAATTGCGTGCTCATCATTCTTTTCACTGTTATTCTCCGATCCTACTGTATCATCCCTAACCTTCACATTATCATCAAGTTTGTTCTCCAATGCATACACCGGAACACCATCTACATATGCCAAAATCTTGCAGTTCCACGTATTTATATGTATTTGAGTTCTTACAACAAAATTTTTAAATACATTGTTAGTTATATCATTTTGATGTTATTCATCAATTAGTTATGCGTTCAATCTAACTGTATTCATCTGTACTTCAAACCTAATTGTATCCATCTGTATTTAAAACAACAATATAGTGAAATACAGTAAAATACTCTCAATACAAATAGGAAATCGATGAATACAACCAATGAAATATACGCAATAAAACAGTAATACCATGTATTAGGAATAAATAAAATATTGTGAATACAAAAATAAACTTGAATACATTGAACACAACTGTTAGATACAACACGATACAAGCACTAGGTTTATTATGACATATGCAGGCAGTAGGTTACTATTACAGGTAGTATCCGGCATAAATACATGATGTAGTCATATTTCACAAAATCGAATTTCAAATATTTCTGTAGATACTTGTAGCAATTCCGAACAGAACCTCGAACAATGTCAAAAAAAACTTAAACTGTATCAGGAAAAAAAAAGAGGGACTGAAACTCTAAAGAATGCTCTATTTTTTTGTGTTTAGCGTCTAATAAATCTTCTCATTAATTAGATTGATAATGTTGTGTGTTATAATTGATCTAGGTGAGTTATATTAGGAGTATATCCCGTTAAATTAGCAGCTTTCCATTATTAAACAACTTGAGAGACCTATGGTATGAATACATGTGAATACAACGGCTGACAGCTGGACTGCCCGATCTTTTAGCCGATTTTTACTACTGTATTCATGAATATAGTAGCTTGAATACATCGAATACATTACCGTAATAATTGAAAGGTAGCTACGAAAAGTAATTATGTATATGGTAGCTATAGGAAGTTAATAGCCACTAAACAATAGTCAATTCTGAAAATTCCTCTCTTTTTTTCTCTCACTTGCTTTCTATGAGTAACTCAATTGTTATGCCAAAAAACAAGTAAAATTATTGATTTGTGCCAGTAAGAATGTTCGGCAATTCAGTACATTTCTTATGGTTTTCATTTCTCTAATCTTTTTTTCCCCTTACTTATCTTCTTCTTTTGTTTGGTCATGGTTATAAGTAGGAGATCGAGTATCAAATATGAAATTGTAAATAATATTTTGTCGTTGAAATAATCATCGTTTTATGTCTTTTTTTCGTTGGATTAGTTCCTTCTCTTTTCACTTTCTTCTTTTTTGCTTTTCTCTATTTCTTCTTCTTTGTTTCTTTCTGTAGAGTAACATATGGGAGAAAATCATTCCAATTTTATACTCATAAAATATTTTGAAAGATAAATTGAATTTTACAGTATTACAGTTATGCTTATAAATGGTAAAGTTTCAACTTAACAATATGATAGATGATTATTGAGTAGTTGTGGTAGATGTTTTAATTTTTTTCATATTTAGGTTTGTTTAGGATTACGTTATATAGGTTCTTAAGGATCTTCTTTCCAATTTTCTGTGAAATGATGGCGTTTGTTTTTCATGGGAGGGAAGGAAGCTAATGGAAGACTTAAAAACTATATGTTCTCTTTGTAGATTAAGTTGCCCATCTAAGCAGGACATTTTACTTTCTGTTTACAAGTTTTAAATATCGATTTCAGCAGCAATACTTCAATCTAAATTTATCCTTCTACTTCTGCCTATGATTTGAAAGTACTTTGATTGAAGCTCCATTAAAGTTAAGAAAAAATACGAGATTATTTGCTAGCGGCAAGGGTATGAATTAGCTCAAGGTAAAATGAAGGGTAAAATTAAGATATTACATATAGTGGTTGGGAGCAAGTCCTTGAAAATTAGAAAATGAGTACTTTGAAGATCTTTAGAAACATAAGAAAGATTGTATGGGCGGGTAACTAAGATGGGGATTCCATATGCTTTTAGAAGAAGACATAAGCAAGGAAAAATTGGCTTAGACAACTTGAGGTTTGGAAAATACTATTATTTTAGTTTGATTAGCATACATCAAAATTTTTCTAATTTGACTCATAATTTTTTTATTGTTTATACTTTCCAGCCTGATACCCATCTAGACTAGAAAGAAAAGTACATTTCATATACTGAATTTATTAACCAAGAGCTTATTCTGTTTTCAGTGGCTGATATTCAAAGGTCTTTTCCATCAATGCTTGACAGGTTTGAACGGATCAAAGGAAGATTTTGTTCTGTGCCTTTAAGAGAACTTTGTTAATTTGTATCAACATATTGTGTAGTAGAAATGGCCTTTTTCAAGTGGTACTAATACATTTGTCTAAGAATCAGAATATGGCCAATCATCCAAGATTGCATTTTCTTATGAATGCTTTCTCGCTAGCTATTTTTTAATGGATACATATGTTTCCTTATGAGTTGAATGTATGAATATCCAATGGATTTACATGCTCATAAAATAATAGATTTGCATGCTCTTTTGTGTCTACCATATTTTTCAAGTAATATTTTTTTATAAAAAATTATACTTAATATTTTTCGCGTAACGCGTGGGTACAAATACTAGTACTAAACATTTATAGAGGAGTAAAAATAAAAGATGTTAGTATGTCACATATGAACTGAGTGAATCCAAATTGAGCCCTACTAGTATAGGTAAAATTATTGAATGTCGCATGTCACTTTTACACAATATAGGTAGCTTATGTTAAAACATATATGTATACTGATATTACATTAATAGCCTATTTGGCCAAGCCGGAGGAATCAACTTTTTTTGAGAAATGTTTTTTCCAAAAGTGCTTTTGAACAAAGTACTTTTGGAGAGAAGCAGTTTGTGTTTGGCTAATCACTATGACAAACACTTTTGAGCAATAATTTCTGTTTAGCCAAGCTTTTCATAAAGTGTTTTTAAGTATCAAATTACGAATAGGGACATGAATAAATTTACTTAATAGTTAATATTATAAGTAAATAAATAATCTCAAAAATTTGTTATTACAGGCAATAATTAAATCTTTTTATTTTATTTAAGTAAAATATAAAATAAAATTAAAAATTACTTAATTATTCTAATATAGGTTAATATATTAAAATTCATTCAACAAATATAAAAGTATTCACCCCTAAAGTCACTACATATTAGAAAGCTATCCTAAGAATAAGAAGAAATACTTATACATTAATATCCTAAGTATTAGGTTTAACGGTTATTTTGGTATATACTATATTTTGTTAAGGGTATTAGGTAAGAAGAAAAGCCAAAACTGCTTCTGCTTCTGCTTTTGGGAAGAAGCTACTTTTTTTGCTTCTCAAAAACTGCTTCTGCTTCTACCTAAAAGCACTTTC